AGGTCCGGCTAGTCGTTGGTATCGGTGCTGGTGTGGAAGTAGTAGTCGGCGTGGGCGACGGTGGAGTTGAAGAGCTGCTGGGGGCAGGGGCCGGCGCAGAGGAGGAAGAACCTGGCGGCGGTGCCACGCCACCGCAAGTCCCAAAGCCAAGACGACAACCAGTGCCGCAGAAGTCTATGGAATTACCACAATAGTAGTACTCCGAGCAGCAGCTTCCGAAGGCGGAGCCGGCACACGTGGTCGCGTTTCCGCATTGCCCATTCGTCGATGGGATAAGCGTGCCAGAGGGGAGTGGTGGGAGTGCAGATGAGCTCGAGGGGGCAGGGACTGAGCTTGTGGGTGGCAGAGGGGTGGGAGTCGGTGTGGGCGTAGGTGTTGTGGTAGGCTCTGGTGCTGCATCACCGCATCTTCCGAAGTCAGGCTGACATCCGACTATGACTCCGCAGTGCTAAAGAGACCCCCGTAAGCTTGCGTGAACTCGAGATGTTGGGACAGCGCATACCTCGAACTCAGTCCCACAGTAGCCATAGCTTGAGCAGCATTGGTTACCACCGCATCTCTGGTTACTGAAATCAGCACCACAGCGTCCCGTCGCTTGTCGAGGGAACAAGTAGTGAAGAGAGCGAGAGTACAGATTTGGTGTCGTAGTGTTGCGTTTCTCGATATGTTGCGCAACGGTATCTTCGATGCCTTCTGATACGTGGAGAGGTCCTTGTGGATGCACAACGAGAGTGGTTTTAATTGACGGGTCAGCTAGAGCTGAAACTCCGGAGAGGCTCAAAGCTCCTGCCAGGCTGATCAGTCTCCAATGCATGGTAGACTTTCTGCAAAGGTCGATGAGATACCAGGTAAACCAGACATTTCCAGTGAGCAAACCCAGGTATTAATCACACTTCCACATGGCCTCCCGGAAGCTAGGGAGATGCTGCCAGGCGATAATGAAAAACATGTCCACTCAATATAGCAGATGGATTTACTGAGTACTTGGCCCGCGTGCATGTGAGGCTCCTTCGAATCTGAGAAAATGCAACAGACCAATGAACGACAGTACCAAACTCGTCTTCTAAATTGAAACTGTAAGCTTTGATGGTTGTACAAGTGTTTGCAGATATCCACGTTATTGCTAATATGGAGGCCAACCGATGGGTATCTTTGTGGGGCCTGTTGCGATTGCGCATGTGTGGGAGACCATCCGAGAATATCATTTCTGGAGGAATTGAGAAGTTGTGGGGGATATTGAGGTTAATGTGTGCATTCCAATTGCTCTCTGGCGTCATGGCCCGGTACGCGGATCCAGCTGTCATTGCGTCGTCCAATATAGTCGTACTCGTAGCCGCAAAGAAGCACGGTGGATGCTCCATGCAACCAAGCGAGTGGTGTTGTGGGGCATCTGAAGCATTTCCCGGCACATGCCCACGTGTGTCTCGTAGAATTGAGAACGTGTTGAAAAAGGCTAAATGCAAGATGCCGACAATACCGAAATTTGATAGTATCGATGACATGGTAATGCCGGAACGTCATAATTAAAGGTTTTCTGACATCTGGAGAGTAAGTTCGATGCAAGGTACCATCCATGATGGGGTTGCGTTACCGGGTAAGTTGGCCTGTTCCGAAAGCATGTATTAGCCGCTGTCATCCGCGTCGCGCGAGGCTGTCCGCTGACCAGCTTTAATGAGGCGCAATGCCTTGGGCGTCCATGGGGCATGCACCGCACAGAAAAAACCCCATCGTTCGATCTCAGTCGTAAATCTGATATTTGGTATGAGGACAATAGAAGGGCTGCAGAGCGGGGTATCGCGACGCGCCCATGACGCGTTGACCTGCAAGGGAGGAAGCAGCCACCCAGTCACCCGAGGATCCACCGTCCAAGTCACAACACCACCAAAAGATACGCCTAGGTCTTTTTGTAAACATGCTGGGTATTGAAAAACAAAGATGGCTAAATTTACTACGCTCTGAGTCCCTCCATGAGAGCACCTTCCTCTCTCTTCCCCACAGCCTGAAAGACAGCACCCTCACCACCAATATCCAATCCCTTCTCCGCCCTCTCATACGCCTCATCACTCCTATCCAACAGAATCTCCAACTCCTCCTTCCCCAACACCTTCCCACTTTCCGTAGCCTCGACATCAAACTTTTCTCCATCGCTTCTCCTGAGAAGCTTCTGTAATACCTCAACCTCTTGCTCCTTCTCATTACCCCGAGTCCCGCCCCGGTCATTCCGCACACCACCCTTTCTAATGACAAGCTTTTCAAGCCGACGCTTTGCTTCTGCAGATTCAAGCAATTTCTGCTCGACTGTGTTGCGCGTTGCGAAGCGGTAGACGATGACGTTGCGGGTTTGACCGATGCGATGCGCGCGGTCCATGGCTTGGAGGTCTTGTTGAGGGTTCCAGTCGCTGTCGAAGAGGATGACTGTATCCGCTGCTGCGAGGTTGATGCCTTGGCCGCCGGCGCGGGTGGAAAGGATGAAAATGTCCGCAGCCTCCTTTGTGGTAGATGGCTTGTTGAAGGCGAGGATCTGGTCTTGACGGTCTGTTTGTGCGACAGATCCATCGATACGGGCGTAGTTCCAGGAGCGTAGGTCGAGGTAATGGCCTAGGAGGTCCAGGGTGGTGGTGAACTGAGAAAAGATCAGGACCTTGTGGCCGCGACGTATCAGCTCGGGGAGAAGTGCATCGAGGAGGAGCATCTTGCCAGAAGTTGACACGATAGTCTCATCGGGTTCTGTCTCCGATGCGAAGGTTTCGGCTCCGTCAGTGTCTGCTCGTATGAAAGGGTTGAAGAAGTTGTATGGCGAGTTACAGCACAGTCGGAGCTGCATGATGGGGTTACCGAGCTTCTTCTGCATGAGCTGACGCTTTGCGATCTCAAAAGTCGCGGCTCGCGTTCTCTCCTCTTCAGCATCAGAGCTCAGGTCTTGTTCTTCTTCCTCGGATTCTTCCTTGCCTAGACCATCGAAGTACTCGTCATCGCTCACTTCTTCATAGTTCTTCTTGGGCCGGCCTCGGCTTCTCGTTGAGGCGACAGATGCGGGCGTACCTGCTCGAGACGTCTTCGCGCTCTTGCTTGGTGTCTCCCTGCTACTCAAGGCTTTACGTTTGAGACTACCGTTATTACTGCGGATACTCAATGGCGTTCCTGCTCGACTGCTTAGACCAATGCTCAATCGTTCAACAGCCTTTTCTTCGAGATAGGATCGACTAGTGCCATCAAGAATCGCCTGGTACAGCTCGCGTTGCATTGAAGTCAACGGGGCGTACAACACATACTCGCGTTTCTTGGGCATCAAGCTCTCGACATCTGTCTTGACTCGTCGCAGCAAGAATGGCTTCAGAACAGCATGCAGTGACTTGACCAGATACTGCTGTCGCTCTTCCGATAACAGTTGTTCGAAGCTCGATTTGTCTTTCAGCCCAGAGAAGTCAAACCAGCTCTCAAATGTGGACAACTTATCGAATACCGTGGGCAGAAGGAAATGCAGCAGTGACCACAGCTCCACAAGATTGTTCTGCAATGGCGTACCGGTGATGAGGAGACGGTTTGCGGACTGGAACTGTTGCAATTCGCGAATAAGCCGGCAGTCAAGATTCTTGATGCGATGTCCTTCGTCGATGATGATGAACTGCCAGCCAAAACTCGTGAGGTACTTGCGATCGTTCATGCAGATCTCGTAGCTGGTGACCATGATGGGGAAGTCGGCGGTACCGGGGTTCCGTAGCCTAGTCTTGCGCAGCCTTTCGCGCTCCTTCTTATCACCATGGTATAGCATAACCGGCATGCTGGGTGTCCATTTCTCAAATTCTGCAACCCAATTACTTGTGGTGCTGAGCGGCGCGGCGATCAGGAATGGCCCGTACGACTTGTTCTCCCATAGATGTGCGAGCATAGCGATTGTCTGGATGGTCTTGCCCAGACCCATCTCGTCTGCCAGAATGCCATTGATGCCGTTGTTGTAGAGTGACACCATCCACTCAAGGCCCTCAAGTTGGTATGATCTCATAGTACCTCCGGTGACCAGCTTCGGCTGCCGCGCAGACTTGAGGTCTGTCATGCCAATGTCCCCTGTCTTGACATTGTCTTTGTCATCCTCTGCTGCTTCTTTCAAGGCCTCTCCAACGTCCTGATTGCCCGCCTTCTTTTCTAAATCAGCCTTGCTGAAGTAGCTCGCTATGTCCGAAGTCTGCTTCTTGGGTTTACCACGGCCCTTGGTGTCTGTCTTCTTTGGTCTGCCCGCGCGTTTCTTTGGTGTCGCGTCCTCTTCTTCCTGCTTCGCCGTTGTCGCGCCGTTGGCCGTGGATCCGCGCGTAGCTCGTCGCTGCGATGCTGCTGCTGTTGTATCGGCAATCCTTTCGCGCTTCGAAGTCTGTCCGTTCGTCTTCTCGTCTTGCTCGTGCTCCTGTTCTTCTTGCTGCTGCATCTGCGCAAGCATGACCGATGCATACAGCTGCTATACGTTAGTAATCATTCGGAGCAATATAACACACTGTCTCAGAGATGAACTGACCTTGCTCTTGTTCATCAAGAACTCCAATTGCTGGAACTTCTTGTCGAGTACTTCCCTGCCGCTCTTGATGTCTTCTTGCCTCTCCTTCTCTAGTTTTGCTTCGCGTTTCGCGTCATCTTTTTCGCGTTGCGTTCTCATGCGCTTCTCCTCCCGCTGCATCGACTGCGGTACACTCTCTGAATCCATGTCGGCTGGTGGTGGCGATGAAGCGGGTGTAGAGTGCGATCCAGACATGGCGCTGGTAACAGGGGAAACGGTCATGTCGCGTGCGATGAGAAGTATTGCTTAAGAACAGGATCAATGGGAACGATGGTATTGTATCTAGCGCCAGGGGTATGTGGTGATGACCGCATGCAGTGGAACGCGGTCGCGATGAAGGGGACGCGCTAAGTGGAAAATCGATGACGATGTTCTCGACGCGCGATCACGCCTGAACTTTAATTACTTTTGTCCACCCGTCCCGCGACGCGACTACAGTCCAGTCAACGCGACATTAGAGCTTCAAGCGATAGAATACTGCGTCCTCTGGGTTCTCATAATAGCTGTCAATCTCTTTAAACCCGTACCTCTCATACAACTTTCTTGCAGGTTTCATGCTGCGAAGTGTATCGAGCAGCATCTCTTCATAACCCAGTTTCTTCGCATGCGAGAGCGCAATTTCCATCAATGGCTTGCTGAGACGCATTCCCCGCGTTTCTGGCGCGAGAAACAAGCGCTTGAGCTCGCATGTCTTGGTGGGTGGTGATGTCGATTTTGCTAGTAGTGCTGCAGATTCAGCCGTGGTGGGCGTAGCGAAGAAGGGTCGGATGGCTATGCATCCTATGGCTCGCTCGTTCTCTCTTGTGGTGCTGAAGCCGGCGGTACTTTCGTGACTTTCCCCCTCCTCTGCCGAGGAGACCAGTAGCCAAACAGCCCCTCCCTTTTCAGTTGCGTATTTAGCAGGTAGTTCCGCCAACTCGTGGTCGAAATTTTGAAAGTCGAGGCTGATGGGCAATGACTCCGCGTACGCCCTGAACAGCCGCCCTACCACCTGCTTGTCGGCGGGGAATTCGGCGTCGCGGATATGTATGTTTGGAAGCTCAGGCATGCCGATGTGTGTCCTCTTGTACTGCGGAGGCATAAAGTGGTTTTCGAAGGTGCAGTGAAGATTTCAGATGCAGTTGGTGTACCAAGCTTAATTGCAACACGTTTCTGTTTGCTTCAAATACTAATCTGCCTTCGCGACGTTGCTCTTGAAGGGCGCAGTTCTAGCCTTACTAGCCTATGCGTATTCTCCACTCTCGGAGTTCGGAGTGGGACACATGTTCTCGAGGGTTCGCTAATGGTGGAGCATCGTGAGCGCCCTAACCTCACCAGCGCCCCAGCCATTTTCGATTGCATTCTTAACTAGATTATATTTTATTTAATTCCTCAAATCGCCATCAAATCACGTGTTACGGTCTTATGGTGAGCCCACATCACCACACCATTCAGCGTCAACACCATCTAACAATCACCAGGTCTAGTGGTATGATTCTCGCTTAGTAAGTCGCACTGAACACAATTCGCTCCCTTTCCATTCTAACAATTCCTAGGGGTAAACCCAAGCACAGCTTGCGAGAGGCCCCGCGTTCGAGTCGCGGTAAGACCCATCACTTCTTTTTTTGCGTTCGCGATGGACTCATGGTCTTGAACCACACGTTTCTTTTTGCATGCATAGCGTATAGAGAATACAGCATTGTTGCGCACATCATAAGCGAAAACTTGACCTCACCTTGGATTAGATTGATTGTTACCACGCTCTCTGCCACCAATGACTTTGAGGACCGTTGCTTCGGGTTCTACTAATAAACTCTATCCTGGGACCTGCGTAGCTGAGCACTTCGCGACTTCTCCGACAAGACACTCTCCTTCCTCTTACGTCTTAAAGGCAACCCGTACTATTCGCAACTTCGTGAGGCAGTGCTTCGTGGCTTTGTCTATATGAGAAGACGCCTTCCATCTGCTGCTCGCGCTTTCCCCACTATACCTGAGTACCCCTCACACAATGACCATCCGCCCGGCAACACCGGCCGATGAGCCCGCCATGGCATCTCTCCTGGCCAAAGCATTCTTTGATGAATCGCTTTTTGGCCAGACCCTGCATCCTCACCGTAACCAGTACCCAGACGATGTCAAGATATTCTGGTCCGAGTACCTGCGGGAGCACTGGAAGACACCCAGCGAGAGACTTCTTGTTGCAACCACAACGGTAGAGGGAGAAGAAAAGATTGCTGGCGCAGCTATCTGGAATAGACAAGGTGATGACGAGGGGAAGCGTAAGGTGGAGAACGAGTGGGTTGATGTCGGTAAGTATTTCAGCTATCCTGGATTAATTGGTACCTATGCTAACATCCATACAGGACCGGATGCTTTCCAGCCTCTTCCCTCAACGACAAATCGGGCTCTTGACCCCACCAAGCGCAACATCTTGGAGGAAACTATGCCCTACTTCAAGCACCACTGGGATGGCGACCGCAGGAACAACTGGTATCTCGACATCCTCGGCGTTCATCCAGACTATGCTGGCAAATCGCTCGGGCGAGAATTGGTCAGCTGGGGGCTGGACCGCGCAAGAGAAGAAGACGTCCATGCAAGTGTCGTGGCTAGTAAAGGGAACGAGCGCTTCTACCTACGCTGTGGATATGATGAGATAATCGGGAACTGCACAGAAGGAGAGGGCAACCCGCTCAAGAATGCCGGAGTTGAAGGTGGAGATATTCTCTTCATGTTTCCGAAGCAGAAGCAGGAATCTGCTGCCTCGTAAGGGCGAATCTGCCCAAGCATCAACCGACACTCGTATCTCGCACAACCTGTTCCGACGCGTCCGTCGTCAAGATGGTAGCCGATGCGTCACGACGCGTCGCGGTGCTACCAAGCCGATTCTCGGTCCGACAGGTTCCTACATTACTCGCTAGCGAGGCTTCCAACCTTTCTAACCAATCAGCGAGATGACAAGTTGAGCCGAGTAATCTCCCGGTGCTTTTGCGGGGGAGCTTTTGCGCGCTTTCTTACTATCGTCGTCATTTGCGGGTAATCGGGGGACGGAGCAAGAATGGATCTGACTGTAGAAATAAGAATGGCATCGCAGGTTGGCATCGTGCGGAAGTACCTCTGTCATCTCTCAATTTCTTACAACCATGAGGCGCTCATCTCCTGTCTTGGTGTCTCTTGCAGCACTAACAGCAAGCCATATCATTCCTCGTCAAGAATCCATTGATTACAATGCTGCTCCACCGAATCTCTCCACTCTAGCTAATGCGTCGCTCTTCGACACATGGCGACCAAAGGCCCACGTTCTCCCAGCGTTTGGACAGATCGGAGACCCGTGTATGCACTACACCGACCCTGAAACCGGCCTCTTCCACGTGGGATACCTGCATCTGGGTGCATCAGGCGCGACTACAGACGACTTGGTTACATACAACGACCTGAACCCCAACTCCGAGCCGTTCATCCGCGCTGGCGGCATAAACGACCCCGTTGCTGTCTTCGATGGCAGCGTGATTGAGAGGGGAGTCAACGGTACACCAACATTGCTGTACACCAGTGTCAGCTTCCTGCCAATCCAATGGACGATCCGGTATACCAAAGGAAGCGAGACACAATCACTCGCCTTTGCTACGGACGGTGGACGCAACTTTACAAAATCAGAGTTTGGTCCTGTCATCCCTGACCCCCCGTTTGCTGTCAACGTCACCGGTTTCCGCGATCCATTCGTGTTCCAGAACTCGCAGGTTGATGGCTTGTTGGGCAAGCGGGACGGAACGTGGTATACCGTTATCTCGGGCGGAGTACATGGCAAGGGTCCTAGCCTCTTCCTGTATGCCCAATACGATGATGAAGATAGAGATTTGTTCCAAACCTGGGAGTACTTGGGCGAGTGGTGGCATGAAGCAGCCAATTCGACCTGGACCGATGAGGGCTGGGCTGGACGCTGGGGCTACAACTTTGAAGTCGCCAACTACTTTGCTTTGGACGAGCAGGGTGCTAACCCAAAAGGCGAGATCTTTGTTACGATAGGTGCGGAATGGAGCTACGAGCCTATTGTACCTCAAGTCTCGGACAACAGGGAGATGCTCTGGGTTGCCGGAAAGCAAGAGCTTGTTGACGGTAAACTGACTTTCGAACCCACGATGGCTGGACGACTCGATGCCGGACGGTCCGCATACGCTGCTGCTGGTAAAGTCCTTCCTGCGGACTCACAAGCTAGCAAAGCTAGCGGCTCTCCGGATCGCTTCATCACATACCTCTGGCTAACAGGCGACTTCTACGGCACCTTAACCGATGAGTTCCCCACTCCCCAGCAAAACTGGACAGGATCCCTACTCCTTCCACGTGAACTCAGCGTCGGCCACCTAAACGTCATCGACAATGAGCTCTCCCGCGAGCAAGGTGCATGGAGAGTAGATTGCGAAAACGACAACGGCACAGTCACGCTCGCAACCCTCCACCAGAAGATCGCCCGGGAACCTTACGCCGCATTCCAAGAAAATGCCACGAACATCATAACCCAATCCGGCGGATCCATGACAAACGCAACGAAATTCAGCGAAAGCCCAAAGTCAAAGCATTGGATGATGACCGCCTCCGTCACCTTCCCCTCTCGCTCTGACGACGTACGTGCGGGCTTCACCATCCTCTCCGGAGCCCAAGAATCCACAAACATCTACTACCAATTCAGCAACGAAAGCATGATCATCGACCGTTCGAACTCTTCTGCCGCGGCACAGACTACAAACGGTATCCCCACGGACAATGAATCGGGTAAGTTCCGTTTGTTTGATGTTGCGGGCGGACATGGAAATGAGACCATGGTTGAGACGCTGGATTTGACGATTGTGGTTGACGGTGGTGTTGTTGAGGTACATGCGAATGATAGATTTGCGGTTAGTACTTGGGTGAGGAGTTGGTATGGGGATAGCACGGATGTTAGTTTCTTTGTGGAGGGTGGGGAGGTGAGGTTTGGTGATGTGACGGTTTATGAGGGGTTGGTTGATGCGTGGCCGCAGAGGAACTAGAGTAGTACGAACTGGTTTGAAGATGAAGACTTCGGTTCGACATGTGTATAGTAAGAGTTTTTGTATCGGTATATTGGAGCATCCGATTTTCAAATCTGGTTATCACGGGATTGTCGGTTATTGATTTCGAAATACGTCCGAACTGCTCTCGAATGCGTTAATAAATAGCCGACTCTAGTCACTTATCAAAAAGAAGTTTGAAAGGCTTCAGGGGATAGTTAGCTCAAGAACAGCCTCGCTCATGTATTGGGTTTCGGTGCTGGGGGAAACCGTGGGTAGCGGGGAAGATTACGTCAGCGACTTCGAGGATATCCCTCCTTTTGGCTAGCACTGCCGCGGTTGCACGAGAAGGCGCGGTGGCGCGCTCTCACCACGAGCGAAACACAGTCGGCCAGACGCAGCTCGCAATGAAATGTGTTTCTCATAGTCCCAAATCACCTACCTCTCCCATTCCGAATTCGCTCAGACACGTATAAGACATCGCGTATCTGGTTTCGTCCGAGTTCCTTTTCTGCTAAGCGCGTTGCTGCCTGCGCCTGCCTCAACGCGCGATATAAGCTCACAGTACCCTGGCACCTTTCACGCCCAACTGTGTCAGAAGCAATTCTCGTGACGCGCAATCGTCAGAACCTTCTCGTCGCCCTCCATCCACCGACACATCCGCATCCCCATTATCGAAAACCACAACGCAACCCCACCAACGAATCTCGACCCGTCCTACACGATGACCATGGCGACAGTTCGCGAAGAAAGAACCCTGTCCGACACTCCAAATGGACTCTTGCGCAGCCAACACGAGTACTCGTACCGACTCCCGACAGCCCCGCGTATCGTGGTTCCCCCGCCTACCCTCACCACCGATATGCCCGGCCTCTCCCTCGGTGGCGCATCTGGAGGGGATGCTGACATGAGCTTCTTGAATGAGCTGGACCTCGAGGACATCATACAGAAGAACACACTGCTGGAATGGGCCTATGAGCGGCGGAGAGAGGCGCAAATGATCTTGCCCTGGGTCTATCTCGGGCCCATGGTGGCAGCCAGGGACAAGGACTTCCTAGAGCGCGAGGGCATCACCATGGTG